ATCTTCAGCAGAGAAGGATGGTTTGATTCAGGAGCAAATTAAGGAGTTTGTGCTTGTATAAAGGTTCAGGGAGACACAAACTGTATATTGGTTACTGAAAGGTCCTCAAAGCTGCTGCCAGGCAGACCTGACACTGATCTGGAAGAACAGGCATGAAGAAACTGATTCTCTCCTTATCCTTTTAGTCCTGAGCCAAATGCTTCATTACGCAGCAAGGCTCAGAGCAGAGCTATGGGAACGGGCTCCACCCAGCTGTAAGGCTGCAGAGGAATTGCAGCCTGGCTCGTTTGTATTTCTCAGGCAAGAGATGGCAATGAATTGTGGTTGCAGAGAGAGAGAGAGAGAGAAAGAAACACAAAACTCTACCTCCTGCACATGTTCATAAATCTAGCCAATCCTCTCCCAAATCAATCTTCTCGCTCCCATCTCCACCCTGCTGGAGCTGTCTCCGTGGGACACTTCCAAGTAGGGGAGAGGTTGCAGCTCTCTGTTGTTGCCATTTTGGGAATGTTGTTTTATAGATTGGACTTGCTGTGGTCTGGGTGAAATGAAAGAGTTTGGCATAAAAATCTCAAAAAGTAAAAACACAAATAGGCTCTTTTTCAGGAGCTTTTTCCATGTGCTTTTTTATTTTTTTCCAGAGAAACTTTTTATAAATTATTTTTAAACATAAAGTGATCTAAGGTGGCTTGTTTCCACCCACCCACCAAGCGCCAGAGGCCAGCTGATACAGGGTACCTCTCATGGCACCCTCTTTATTATGCCTGTGGTAGATTCAGATCCACAGTTGAAAGAAAGAAGAGACCCTCTGCAATGAAGAACTTCAAAAGGCTGTGAGATGTCTGAAGGCACTCACCAGTTTTGCACTGCAAGGACTCGGCACCAGCTCCTCCCTCAAGGACCAGCTACTTTGAAAGCTATTGCTGTCGGTCACTATCAGCTACATCTGCTCCGCAGAAAAACTGAAATGGTCTAACAACTCTTCTCCTGCAAACTGCAGGATTGAGCTAGCTCCCAAATGCCCTGTTGTTATTCAGTCATCCTTAATGAAAGATGTCCGCAGAGTGGGCTAGCTGCTAAGAGGCACTGACCACTGATACCTCCCCACGATGGCAAGAAGGAACAAGTCAAGATGGAGCTGAAATCTCAGTCTTGGGGAACACAGAACTCCTCTGGGCAGAAGCAGGACTGATGCCCTGGTGGGTGAATTACAGTTTTGGTGATGTTCTGTTTGATGAGAAACTGTTCATTGTAATCAATGACTTCGCTCCCCAAACAGCCTCCCGTGCCAAAGGCAAAACCCTTCACTGAACTGACTGCGCTGGCTGCCGTAGAGCACTGGGGAAATACAATTTTGATGAGAATGGCAAAGAATGGGTGTCTTAAAGATGCGTTGGGGCTCCGTTTAGGATCTAACCTCTAATCTGCCCAATTAATCTGATGAAACAGATGTGAAGGAGGAAGAACAGCCAGTCTCCTAGGAATCACAGAGACATTAGAAGGATATACTTGCCAGATGTTGAATGTTTGCTATCTGGAACGTCTCCTCCCTCCCTAACCGGCCTTTCTGGCTCCATTTCCATGCACCCTGAACTACACCATGTAGCAACATTAATTTTGTAAAACACAATTCAGCCACTCTGTACTTGTGTGTATTGCAGTGGCAAAAGATGGTTCTGCCAGTCAGAAAAAAGATGTCAATTCAGAGACCTGCCAGCTGACAGAGCTGCTCTGTGGCTCTCTGCTTTGGTCCCTGCACTGTCTGGGGGAAGAATGTGCAGTGTCGCTGCTCCACTTACGCTGCTAGCAGCCTAGTGAGGCTGTGAAGGACATTGCTTGAGGCTGTTTCTTTGGGGAAAACAAACCAAACCAAACTTATTTTTGGGGGGAATCCCTGCAATGCTGGTGCCCTGTGCTCAACTTTATCCTAATGGCTCTCAACAGTATCATGGAAGGGCACTGGGATGAATAAACTTGGTCAATTTAAGGAGGGAGGGACCAGGAAGAAAGGAATGAGATAAAATCTAGGACAACATACCCAGCCAGGGAATGTGTGCCAGACACGGGGCAGAGTCCTCTGCAGGGAAGGGAAAGA